TACTTTTTTGAACTTTTGAACTTTATTTCGCCTTCACATCGGCGGCACATACGGTCGCAATGCCGTGTGCAGAATTACAAGATTAAAAGCAAATTGTGTACAAAATAATGAGAATAATGAGAAACTTATTTTAAACAAGGAAAAAAACTACCCAAGGTCCAGTTCGCAGGTCATCACCCCAGAGCTGCGCACTGATTGGTCAACTCATCAACATCCGGGGGATTTAAATTGTCTTACCATTTCTAAACGGCCATTTTTGCCTGTTTGATTCCAGCAAGGAAAGCTCCTTGATTCCAGGTGAGTCTGACCTCCGAGCTTTGTATTTTCAACTGACTTCAACTTATCATTGCACCAGGTCTGATATAATTTTTGCACGTAAGACCCTTCCTTTTTGTTGACAAGCGTTTTACTCGGTGGTTGAGGTGATAGGAATTCAGGCAAATTCTAGCAGAGGCGGCGGCAGGGAATTTTGAGTGCTGGGCTACTCACGTGAAAAATACTGCTGTGCTGTTGGGAAGGGCACGGCGTGCCGCGAAAATAAACTGCATGTTGTCTTCGAATTCAGAAGAGCTGGATTTCATATTTACCGATATCTATTTTGGCCAGCAGAACATTACCACAACCGCGTGAGAAATCTCGCGCCATTTTTCCTAGTAATACGTAAATATGCACAGCTGATAAACCAATCAGAGCGCAGGTTTTCGGCGGTGAACCAATCAGAGCTTACAACTCGCGGTAATACCTAACTTGTTACATGAAGAAGACGGCGTTCGTGTGATTTCAAGTGGCGGAAAATGTGGTTTACAGGCGGTTTTAAGGTAGAATTTGCTGGCTTTTCCTTACATCTAGAGAAAATACACTAGAATTTCAGCATTATTTTTTTGGGGGGGGAGGGGGCGAGAGACGGGTTTCCGGAAAAGGCTGTGCTGTGCATGTGCATGTGCTGTGCCCCTCTTCAGGGCCCCAAGCCATCACATGTTAAAGGGGCATTATGTGACTTTTTGACAATACAAAAAGTATATTTTCCATTCTTTTCTTTACATAGTACGTTGACTTAACCCTTTAGTGTTCCAGAATAATACGCAGCAACAAAAATACAACATCCTTGCTCCTTATGAGCTTACAAAACTGTGAATGATCTTCTATTCAAACCTCTGGCCACACCGCACATACATGTATGGTTAGTCTCCTGCAGGTAAGCTGGACCCTCTATGGCCGGCCAACTCCTCTGGCCGATGATGTTCCCCTTAGCCAATTTCTACTATTTATTCAGCCTGC